GAAAGGCATTATGGGTAACCTCTAGTCCTCACTGTTTTATCCATCTTTTTTACCCTCAGGATAATGACCCAAATATACTATTCAAATACACAAAACACACAAAAACATTCATAGTCATAAAGCACTCACGCAATAACAAAGATATAAGCAAAGCTTTTACTAGTATTGATAGCAAACACCCGTCAATGTTGTCTAAGCCTCAGTTGTACTCATTAACAGGTCATGAATGCATATGAGTGTAGCAATATTAATGGCCAGCTGAACGTACAAAGTAATTATGTCATAAAAAAATTAATTTTCCTGAAAAAAAGAAAAGAAAATTATATGAAAACATATAAACATACAAATGAATGGCAGTGAAAAAAGACCATTTATTAAACCTACCTGGAAAACATGTTAGTAAATGGTTCCTTTCCCCCCCCCCCTAACATTCTAGAAACACTCTCTTTAGGTTCTATATTAGTAATCTGTACTAACATTCCAAGAATGTTGTAGGGAGGTTTGTGTGACAACCTAATAGGAACCTATACAGAATATTTGCTAATGGTTATTTTTAGGTTTTATTTATACTACAATGTAAAAGTCCGGGGTCATAAAGAGATTAAGTAAGAAATTAATAATTAAATAAAAAAAAAATACAGTAAAGACTTTTATATTTACATTTTCGAAGTCTAAATGTGAACAAGAGCTAATCACAAGCTTCAGTGGAGGGCAAGATTATGAAAAAATAAGTGACAGTAAAGACATTTAGAATGTTACTGTGACGAGTGGAGCGGGGCCGAGAGCTGTATCACTCGCGTCACCGGCCCACCCCACTTGTCACAGTTACAAAAGATTTCTATTCCAAATAAATGCTGTTCTATTGAACACACTTATTATAAGTAATGTTTCTTGAGCAGTAAATCGGGATATTAGAATGACTTCTGAAGGATCATGTGACACTGAAGACTGTATTTGCTGCTTTAAATTCAGCTTTGCCATCACAGGAATAAATTCGATTTTAAAAATATATTCAAATAGAAAACAGTTATTTCAAATTGTAATAATATTT